AGTTATTCAATGTGAAGTAAAAATTAAGACTACTTTTTAAAAATTCTATAAAAAAAAAAGTTTTGGGAATTTTATTTTTTAAATGAATGGATCTAAAAGAGAAAGGCTTGAAGTTAATTAGTGTAGAATATCGACTTAATAACACGAAAAGTAATTCATACCCAACGATTTAGAAATAATTTTCATAAAAACGCATCAGTTTTAACACTATTTTAAAAAATTCGAAAAAAATAGAAAATATCGTTATTTTACAAAAAAAATTACACCGTGTCGTGGCGAAATAAATGATCTTTCCGATTCTGTAATTATTTTTTGTCTAATTTCGACACCGAAAATCGGATGACAATTTTAATATGGTGGAAAACGTAAGATTACCGCTCGGCCGAAACGGAAGGAAGTTCCGCCAAGTAAACAACCGGCAGGAGTAAAACAATTCGGCGTTTTAAGGTTTTTAATTAATATCTTTTTAACTAATTACAATATCGGAATATAAATAGGCAATACGGCTTCCCCGGAAAATTCCCGATCTTTTGGTACCTTCCGCGACTTTCTGCGTGGTGCTGTTCGTGAGAAGATAGACGCACATAGATACATACATAGATACGTTTGTTTACCTTCGAATTTTAATAGTGTAAGATATCCATGTTGATTTTGGAGAGTTTTAACAAAAACTAGTTAAGTTATTTTCAGAAATGCAAATGGTATTCCATAATACTTGACTGTCATATATTTATTTTTATTGTACATAAAAACAAAACCAAAAAAAAATGTCTCATACATATTTTAATTTTTACATGAAGCGTTTATATTATGTTATAAGAAATATATGCGTAGTGTTTCTTAAAATATTATATCAGTGTATATTTAATGTATAATTATATTTACTTTCTAATTAATATATAAGTTTATATTTCTTAGCTCTGCATTTAAAATTGTTATACATATTTTTTACCTACGTAGAGATTGGCATTTCATAAAATATTTGAAGTTTTATTTTTCTCTTGCTAATTTAGCCCAAAAAGAATTGTTTTGTCAATAGCGTAAGCTTTTTAAAAGAGGTGAATACTCAGAATACGTTTAAAAAAATAAATTATAGTTTAAAAAAAATAAAAAACACGCTTTTATACTGAATCGAACTAAAAAGTGAAAAAATAATTCTTATTATAAGGAATAAAATGAATGAGAAAATTAATGTCATTGAGGTAAAAACGTGGGGTGTTTATAAATATATCAATTGTTATAATTTCTAACTTCTATTCCGAAATGCTGAGTTACTGTAAAAATGTAGTACAAAGCACCCCACGCTTTCACCACAATGACATTAATTATCTCGTTTATCATTTTATTCTTATATTAAGAATTATTTTTTCACTTTTTAGTTCGATTCAGTATAAAAGCGTGTTTTTTAGTTTTTTTAAACTATAATTTATTCATTGTTGAATTTATCCTTGAGTTTGATATTTGAAGCTGGAATTACGTAGCTGTGGAATTAGTCTTGCTCTTCAATGGATATTAATTAACGGGTCTGAAGTGTATTTATTCTCTCCGTTTACGGGGTTTCAGATGAGTCCCGTATTGTTATATTAGATTCCGTCTCTATAGAACAGGTCAAACAAATAAAAGTGTGTTAAGAAGAAAAAGTTCGAATTTAAAAAAAAAAAATTAATGTACCATGTTTTTATAATGGACTAAAAATTATAAAAAAAAAATTCCTCCTTTTCGTTTTTTTTCTTCTTTTTTCACATTTTTATGCATTGTCATCCACTTCTGAGATATGATCCAAATTTCAAGTCTCTAGCTCATCGGAAAGTCACACAGTTTAAAATCAATTACAAAATTCCACCCGAACAGACATTTAAGAAAGCAAATTAATAAAAACATGGTAATATTTAGTGTCAATCGTATCATCACTTAGAAACGTATTCCTTTATAAAAATAAAAAATATTTAGCTGTTAGAACAAATTTTTTTTCACATGCACGAGCCTTTTTTTATTTTCATTTTCAGAAAAATGTTTATTTTATGGTAAGGAATTGCTAACACACACCCACCCTCCACTTTCTCACATACAGAACACTTTTTTGTTTGTTTTATTTCTAATAATTACAAGTGTGTATTTTATACTTGCATATAATTAGCTTTAAATTCAAAACACTCGCTTTTTGGTTTACACCTTATTCTTTTAATCGCTAAATCTGGAAATAGTGTATGAAATTAGTCGCCAAATCTGAAAATGGTTTATGCAATAAGTCGCCAAATCTGAAAGTGGTATATGGAATTGTCGCCAAATCTGATTATCGTTATTCCTGACGATCCTGATGAGGACAATGGAACAAAATTACGAAATTATTGTACTGTCATCGGTCCTTGACAAGTTAACAAAGTTTCGAATTAATCCGACCTTTTAAAGTGGGTAAAAATCGAGTTCCAAGATTCCGTTACATACAAGCGAAACTTATAAAAACGTGTTAAAAATAAAAATTCATTCTCCATACAAAATAGCTCTCTTTTCTAGACTTGACGAAAAGCTAAAAACCATTGTTGAAACACATTAGATCTGCATGAAAGCATCTGACATTCTAATTCAGTCAGATATTTTCACCAATAAAAAACATATGCTCACATTTTATGTACAATGCAAAGGCCCAACTTTTAAGCCATTGCGTTGTCCACACTATCAAAATTTACGCACACGTGCGCCATAAATTCCAAGTCAACATCTGATGAAATTTATACTCAATAAAAGAAAAACTTTTTATGTGCATTTAGCGTTACTTTTACCAAATTTTAAGTCCTCTTATTAACGGTAAGCTCCCTCCGAACTGTATTCTACGAACTCGTTCTACCCCATAACATCCGGAAATTCGACACTTAAGTTTGTTTGTCCAATCATAAAACTCCTACTCCCCCGAGATCCAAGGCAATAACTTGTAGGATTTGTATGATAATGGTCCCGCTTAGGAATCATTTCAAGGATTCACACCGTTGCTTGTTGAGAATAATCGAACCCCGTTTTGTTCGAAAAATCCCATTCCTTACGCTTCTCGAAAATCGTCTGCTTTCGAAGCCATTTCCTGGATTACGCTTTGCCGTTTGGTAAGAATAGAAAAGAGGGATAAAAAAAGAGAGAATTTACGATCCGAGACTGGAAGCTGTTGTAGTTATTGTTGACATGGCGGTCAAGCATCATTCTCTCTTTTTTTTTTATTACTTTACTGAGTCGAGGAGAAAGCGGTTTCTGTGACATAAATTGTTGAAAATACAGCGAAAATGATGTCTGAAGGGGAACTAGAAAGACGGAATATAACTTTACTCCCCCTCCCCCCTAAATATTTCGTTCTTTTATCCGATACCAAGAATATTACACACGGTTTTACAGCAAATAAGAAATCTACAATACACAATTTTTAGTTACAATGCTTCAATATTATATTTATTTTTTTTTGTGTTTAAATTGAGAAAAAACAAGTAATATAAAAAAGGAAACGAGTCTTACAATAATCGCATATGATGTGTAACATCTGACTCGTTGTCATGGTAAATACGCAATAGGGGCTTTAATCCTGAAAGAAATGAATCGGTTATGACTGGAAATAATTTTCTATCGAATAATTATATCTTTAATGAAAATTTTATTTAATTAACACTAGGAGTTATGCAGTTTTTTATCAAAAATATTTATTATTGTTCAATTTGGGAAAGAGCGGAGACAATAGATTTATGAAAACTAAAGTATGAACATATACTTGTGATTTCAAAGTATTTAAAAGTCCTTGAAAAACGGCGTCAATAACAGTTAACAGTACCACTGTTAGTTGTCGAAACATTTCGATTAGTGTTCATTTCGAGCTTGAGTTCATCTTTCAGAAAAGCTATGAGCGGCTCAGCTTCTGGCAAACTGAAGTTAACGTTAAAATCACCACTCAAAATCAGGGAAGCGAGTGATAGTTTTTTTTAAAAAGAGCAGAACCACTTTCGGTATACGGTAAAAGTACAAAATGCAGGAAATCTGTAATTTGTTTAACTGTTTGATTCGGAGAAATGTATGCGATCACCAAAATGACAAGACTTGCTGGTATGTGCGGTAGGCGGGCGTCTTAATTGCTACTACAGTTGGACCCCCCAGACGAGAGTAGCGAAGAGACACCGTCAAGAGCGCATGCTTAAAAACTAGAAATATTAGAGAAAGTCAAAAAAATACCCGTTTACTTAATTAGTTTTTTTTAATCGACAAATCTTTTTTAATCACAATTAAAAATATTAAATTGACAGCGACAAGAATTAACTCAAAGTATGAAAATGATAAGCACTTTAATATTTATTCAAATAATTCCATATTACTTACTCCTATTTTTTTTTAAGAATGATGAGCTTTGTCAGACGCTTAACAAGAAATATAATTGTTAATATATCGTTTACACATATATAAATATATCCTCAGATTTCACACACAACGAGCCCTGAGACTTCGACATTTGAGCGTAAGAATCGCAACTTTATTCTGCATGACTTGCTGGTATGTGCGGTAGGCGGGCTTCTTAATTGCTAGTAGAGTTGGACCCCGAGACGAGGCTAGCGAAGAGACACCCCAAGGCGCTGAATTGGTCATATCAAACAGCGCGCGCTTCCCCCGACTTCTTGTTACGCATTTCCGCCCCTTATCACTCCAACAAATATCCAGCAACCGAGAGTAAAGATGTTACACATCAAAAATTTTATAAGTCAATTCCCAATTAGATTACCAAAGAAAAATTTTACTTTAGTTACTTCTTATTAAATGGTTACAATTAATATATAAATAGGTATATACATATGATATTACAATATTAAGTGACAAAATAGAAAGCGATTTTTTTTGCAATTTTCCATTTTATATATGGTGTTGGACTATTTTTGTGTATGTGTTTGTTTGTTTTTGTTTTATTTTTATTCCTTAATTAAATTTAATTATTATAATAAAATAGTATAGTAAGAGAGAAATCGCATTCTCAGGAATTAGGCCATCCCAGGTGGGATTCGAACACCTACGGCTTTTGGATTAGAAGTCCAACGCGCTATCCAATGCGCTACAGGAATGCAAAGAGCGGCTTTCCTTTCAAATATGGTGTTGGACTATTATTTTTTTGTTTGTTACTATTTATTCATTAAGTTTAACTAAAAAATTAAGATTTGAAAAA